TTGATGTCACATGGTACATAAGGAAGCTAGGCTTGAGCAAGCTCTTCAAGCTAGAGTGTAGTGAGTACTCAACTCACCAAGGAGTTCCTCTCCACAGTAGCTCTTGCCTTTCCCAACCACAATGGAGACCAACCAGCTGGTGATGGACTCCTACTCTTCAAGATAGGCGATGCCAATGGGCGCATCTCATCTCAGCTCTATGCCAACTCTTTGGACTTCCCAATGAGACAGCACATGACTTCAAGGAGAACTCAAAGAGGAAACAAGCTGCCTTTGCTGATTGGACACACTTTGCCAATGAACCATTCTTGCCTTCAAGGTCAAAGGTGTCTAGAATCACCATCCAGCCATTCGCTATGTGCACCGCCTCATCTCCACCACTTTCCAATGCAAACAAGAAGCCAACAAGGTCACAACTGATGAGTTCTACATCCTCACCACACCATTCATCAAGCATGAGTACAAGGCCAACCTTGGTCTTTTACTTGCCAAGACATTTATCAATGTGAGGAAGCTAGCTCAAGACTTGGAAGGCAACAAGAAGCTTTGTGTTCGTTTTGGGAGGCTTATCACGGCCATAGTACTGCATGTGGGGATTGACATTCCCAACTATGAGCCACTACCCAAGCCAACCCCTTTGGATCTCCATGCTCTTCAGCACATCCACTTCCTAAACCGTTGGACTAAAGACCCAACCGGTTTTGCTATGAGTTTCCAATTGGTCCAGCCAACACTTCCCTTGTCTTGCTGCCACATGAGACATCCCAAGCCTACGCTCAGGTGTTGTCACTTTCCAGCCCAATGAGGAAGACTTCTATGTTCCATCAAGTGAGAAACCATCATTCCCCATGCTCACCTATCGCACACTTCAGCATGCAGTCAAGACTCAACGCCGCCACCAAGAACGCCATGTTCTCACTACTGGCATGGCGCGACCAAGCTCTAGACCGTGTTAACAAGCTGGAGAAGATAGTGGAATGCCAATCTCGCTTCATCTCACGCCTAGTTCGTGTAGTTCGCCACATTGCACCGGAGAGACTCTTTCGCCCTTCTCACCGCTACAGAACCATATGAGCCTGACCTTGGTGAATTCTCACTAGACTCAGAGCTTGGTTCAGAATGTGATGGCCCCATAGAAGAGGAAGAGAGTTCTTCTCACTGCCACACATAGTCATCTCAAGTGGTACTTAGTGCAATGGACACTTACAAATCTCCATTTTCAATCCCTATTTCATTTTAATGAATTTCTCTTTATTTTTCTTTTATTTTGAATATTTGATATACCTCTATTTTACATGCTTTTTATACTGTTTTAGTATTGTTTTCTAATGGTTTTTGGCAGGTTTTCTATCTAAAAAGGTAGTTTTACTGTGTTTATAGTGTCTAGAGTCTAAACAGGTGAAATGATGCATTTTGGAGCAAAACCATAGGATTTGCACTTCAAGCCGCTCCATGCACAAGCATCAACTTTAAGAGGGCCCAGAAAAAGATCTACTCAATGGATTTCATCAAGACCAGTTCCCTGCGTGCTCTGATTGAGTTAACTTTCCAACGCAACTGGAACGGCCTCATTTGGATGAGTAGAAAAGGAGTTACAACCAAAAGAGTGAAGACTGTCCAGACGGCTCTATCGAGAACAGCGCCCAACCGCGCAGTCCGGCTGGCCGAGAAACGTTTCACGCTCGGCCAAATCACATCCGTCCATCTGAAGTCTCGGCCAAAGTTCAAAACCCGGCCGAGTACGCATCACGACCCGGGAAGCATGTCCCGCGGTCGGCCAGCCACAACGTCACGCCAGCCGCGCACGACCATGCCGCGCGAGCCGGGAAGCAAGCCTCGCGGCCGCGCAACCTGTCTCGCGTACCACGGCCGATGCGCCGTCCGAGCCGGGAACTACGTCCCGCGTCCGGCCGAAATCATCGGCCAATCTTCATCCGTCCGACCACAGCGGCCGACCGCGAATCCGTCCGGCCACGACCGTTCCGATCGTACGAGCGGCCATGACCCGATCATCCGGCCGATCGTCCCGACCGACCGTCCGAACGCCGCGGTCGACCCGAAGCCCGTTTTGAAGCCCGATTTCATATTTTCAAGGCCCGGCTTAACCCTAAGCCGCCTCTAAAGACCTAGCACTATATATATAGCTTTTTAGCCTCTTGTGAAAAGAGAGCCGCCTTGTATTCACGATTTCATACTTAAGTTTTATTGCAATCATGTTTTCTTCATCTCTTTGTGTTGTTGCTTTGATATGTCTGAGTAATTCACTAGTTAGGTTGTGAGATCTATCAAAGAGTTCATGGTTTGATAGGTTGTTAGAAATCGCCTAGGGTTTTATATATCGCATCTTCTCTCTGCTTGAATTCATTGCTGCTTGCTTTTCTGATCAACTAGCATCAGATCTTAGGTTTCATATACTCTCCAAAAGCTTGCTATATAACCTGAACTAAGTATTTGGTGAGCAAAACTTCATAGACTGCGAAAGTTGATCTATGCGGGGTTGTGAACAATTGGGTCTTGAACGAACTATTGCTTGATTTAATCACCTAGGGACATACCAAAAGTTTAGCGACTAGGTAGATTAACAAAGGGGTCGGAGCCTCGACAGTGGAAAGATCATACAATCGTGACCTGAGTTCTAGATAGCGCAAACCCTAGCGAACCCTTCTAATATCTTGTTAACCTTGAATCTCTGCGAGTTTCTCATTGCCTAGCGTTTCCCTTTATTGATTTTCATAAACCGTTTAATCTGCTGTTTGATTTCCTTTGTTACACAATCAAAAACCCTAAATCATACTTGTTTTCTAGCTATATTAGACTTGCAATACTCGAAGTGTACTTATCTGCTCCTTGTGTTCGATACCCGTTTACTACTTTTGACCTGTGCACTTGCAGAATCAGGGATAGGAAAAGGGAAGACCTGATCCCGCGATCAAGTTTTTGGCGCCGTTGCCGGGGAGCAATACAGCTACCTTCGAGTTCCCAACTATAGTCTAGCCTAGAATTTCGTTTTTCCTTTTTGTTTTTGCAAACTTTCAACTTTTGTTTTTCCTTTTTACTGTTTTCTATTTAAAGAATCTTGCCTCTATCCTTTCAGGTACTAAGCTTGAAAGAAGGACTCTAACATGAGTGATTCAGACGATCAAGAGGATAGAGAGAACTTGGCCGCGAGAGAGATCGCGCTGGCCGAGCAACACGAAGATCCTCCGGATCCGAACGCGCACGATCGCGCAATGATGATGCCGAGAGATGGAGCGGACACAATGAAGAAGTCATGGGAGACTTCGATTCAAATCCAACACTACTAATCGATCGGAATCCCATCCAGCCGCCACTTCCTGAAGGAAGAAGCTATGAGATTTCACCGGAGATCATTGGTTTGGTGAAACAAAACCAGTTCCAAGGAAAACCGCAGGAGAATCCTTTGGAACATATTGATGCTTTTGAAGAAATTGTGGCACCATCAGTGCAGGAGGTGCGCCCAAGGAGTACTTAAAGTGCAAACTATTCTCTTTCACTTTGACAGGGAAGGCTTTGCGCTGGGTTAAGTCTCTTCCAGCTCAATCCATAACCACATGGAAAGAGTACAAGGTGGCATTCCTAGGTCACTTTTTCACAAAGCAAAGAGCAAACTTGTTGAGAGAAAAGATCTCTAGTTTCCAACAAGGGCCGGTGGAGCCTTTTCATGAAGCATTGGAGCTTTAAAGACTATACAAGAGAGTGTCCTAATCATGGACTATCTGAGGGCAGTCTATGGAACATTTTCTACAGAGGAATAAGTGGGAAGTGTCGATTTTCTCTTGATACAGCCAGCAATGGAAATTTCATGACCAAGACAGTTACTGAAGCAAAGATTTTGATTGAAAATCTAGCCTCAAGCGACAGTGACAACTTCATTGGGCATGAGAGAGCAGTGAAGGCCATAAATTCTGATCCATACAGAGATGGATACAGTGAGATCAAAGCCATGATGGCTGAGATACTGAGAAACCAAGGAAGAGAAGTGGAGAGACAAAGAGAAGCTTATAGAGTTGAATCCACAATAATTCAAGACTACTTTGGAGATTTGATTCCAAGTTTCAAGAAGAAGTAAACTTTGTTGGAATAGATGGATTGGCACGTGGAGAAGAAGCTTGGAAAGGAGAGCATGATGTTTTTACTCAAGAATCACCCAATGAAAGAGGGATGTTCATGGAGGAAGAAATTATCAGCAACACCTCACAAGAGAAGAATGGAGCCAAGGAGCAACTTTGAAGATTTGATAACTTTCATCAAGAGTTCTCATAGAGAGCATACAGCCTTGATTGATGAGAGATTGGAGTCAGCCTTCACGAGATTGAATGAGAAGTTGGATTCTATTTCTTCTTTCACAAGAGACTTGGATCTTAGAGTTGCCAACATAGCCAGCTCTATTAAGAGAGAAGAAGGCATGCTACCAGGAAAAGTGGAAATCAATCCAAGGAGAGCAGCTGTAGCAGCTATCACTCTTAGGAATGGAAAAGGGTATGAGCCACCAGCATACCCAGATCAAGAGGAAGCAAAGCCGCCAATCAAGAAGAAACCAATGGAGTATGTCATTATTGGAGATGGACTGAACCACCTAAGGAAGTCCATGTCAGAATAGAACCAGGAACTCAGGAGGAAGTGGAGAAGCCACCTGAAGAACCAAGAGTGTATGAGCCAAAGATCCCATACAGAAATGTTCTTTCTCAACCCAAGAAGGAGAAGGAGCAAGCAAAGCTCAAGGATCTTGTTAGCCAACTTTCAGTAAGGTTACCTTTCATTGATGCCTGCCAAATAATTCCATCTCTCAGGAAGTATATGAAGGCCATACTCACAAGCAATGTGAGTCTTGAAGAAGGAGCAATGATGATTACAAAGGAGTGTAGTGCCATACTTCAGAATCGCATGCCAGAGAAGCTGAACGACCCAGGAGTTTTGTTTTGTCTTGCAAGATCGGTTCTACACACTTCCATAGAGCACTTTGTGATTTGGGTTCTAGTGTGAACCTAATGCCTTACTCAGTGGCCAAGCTATTGGGCATCACTGACTTCAAACCTACAAAGATCTCTCTAGTCTTTGCAGACAGATCTGTTCGCCGCCCTGTTGGTGTTATTATGGATGTTCCAATCATGGTTGGAGATTGCTACATCCCTGCTGATTTTGTAGTTCTTGAGCTGGAACACCAACCTAAAGACCCTCTTATCTTGGGAAGGCCATTCCTAGCTACTGCAGGAGCTATAATAGATGTCAAGAATGGAAAGATTGACTTGCATCTTGGAGATATAGTGATGAATTTCGAGGTAAACAAGTCTATGGAGAAACCAACTGTAGATGGTCAAGCTTTTTGGATTGGAGAGCTCGCAGAGACAAGAGAAGAAGTGCTGGATGAACTCCTTCTTATTGATCCCTTGGAGCTAGCTTTGACAAAGGCTGAGAATGAGTATGGATACATGGAAAGAGAAGCTCAATGCTTAGTCAAGTTCATGGATTCAAGGAAGCTTATAAGAGCTGATAGCTTATATGGACTTAGAGAGAGAAGAGGAAGAGCCAGACATTGACAAGGATCAGGAAATATCACAAACCAAAGTTAAGTTCGACCCATGGTGCCCACTTAGAGCTCCAAAAGCCGAGCTCAAACAACTCCCAGTTGGTCTAAGGTATGAATATCTTGGTCCTAATGAAACATATCCTGTTATTGTTAATGCTGCACTAACAAAAGAAGAGACCGCTTTACTTGTTCGCGAACTGAGAAAGCATAGAAAGGCTCTTGGTTACTCTTTGGATGATTTAACAGGAATCTCACCTGAACTATGCACACATCGCATCATCCTGGAGGATGAGTCTAGTTCTTCAATTGAACATCAAAGGAGGCTAAACCCAAACCTAAAGGAAGTTGTCAAGAAGGAGATAATGAAGCTATTGAAAGCTGGAGTGATTATCCAATATCAGATAGTGCATGGGTCAGCCCTGTACATGTCGTGCCAAAGAAAGGAGGGATCACAGTCATCAAGAATGAACATGATGAGCTCATTCCAACAAGGACAATCACAGGACACAGAATGTGTGTCGACTACAGGAAGCTGAACTCCTCTACGCGCAAGGACCACTACCCCTTGCCATTCATAGACCAGATGCTTGAGCGCCTTGCCAATCATCAATACTACTGTTTCTTGGATGGATACTCAGGATTTTTCCAAATTCCAATCCACCCAGATGATCAGGAGAAGACTACTTCACTTGTCCCTATGGCACATATGCTTATAGGAGAATGCCTTTTGGATTGTGCAATGCTCCAGCTACATTCCAAAGGTGTATGATGTCCATATTCACAGATCTAATAGAAGAGATTATGGAGGTTTTCATGGATGATTTCTCAGTATATGGTTCTTCCTTTGAATCATGTTTGGGAAATCTTGGAAGAGTGCTACAGAGATGTGAAGACAAGCACCTAGTTCTAAATTGGGAGAAGTGCCACTTTATGGTTAGAGATGGAATAGTGCTTGGACATAGAATCTCAGAGAGAGGCATAGAAGTTGACAAGGCCAAGATTGAAGTAATGACAAACCTTCAGCCGCCCAAGACAGTAAAGATATCAGAAGCTTCCTAGGACATGCTGGATTCTACAGGAGGTTCATTAAAGATTTCTCACAGATAGCAAGGCCACTAACACGCCTATTATGCAAGGATATTAACTTTGAGTTCACAGAGGAGTGTCACAAGGCTTTCACTAAGATCAAAGATGCATTGGTCAGTGCGCCAGTGGTTCAACCTCCAAACTGGGAACTACCTTTTGAGATAATGTGTGATGCAAGTGATTATGCAGTAGGAGCAGTGCTTGGGCAAAGAAAAGACAAGAAGCTACATGTGATCTATTATGCCAGCAGAACGCTTGATGAGGCACAATGCAAGTATGCCACAACAGAAAAGGAGCTTCTAGCTATTGTCTTTGCATTTGAGAAAGTTTCGATCATACTTGGTGGGATCGAAAGTTATAGTTCATTCTGATCATGCAGCATTAAGGTATCTTATCAAGAAAGATGCCAAGCCAAGATTGCTGAGATGGATACTACTATTGCAAGAATTTGATCTTGAGATCAAGGATAGAAGAGGAGCAGATAATGGAGTAGCTGATCACCTTTCAAGGATGAGAGTTGAAGAAAATCTACCTCTTGATGATAGGCTACCTGAAGAAACAGTTTATGCAGCTGAAGCTAGCAATAAGCATGGACAACTAAGCCATCACAGGCCAGGAACAAAGATCTCATCATCAAACACACCATGGTTTCGCCACATAGCAAACTTCCTTGCAGCTGAATACCCACCACCAAACTTCTTTGGCTACAGAAAGAAGAAATTTCTGCGTGATGTAAGAAGGTACTACTGGGATGAACCTTACTTATACAAGAAATGTTCAGATGGAATGTTTAGAAGATGCATACCTGAGGAAGAGGTAGAAGGAATATTGTTTGCTTGTCATAGTTCTAGCTATGCAGGCCACTTTGCCACTTACAAGACAGTATCCAAGGTCCTACAAGCTGGATTTTGGTGGCCAACTATGTTTAAGGATGCTCATGCATTCATATCAAGATGTGATGCTTGCCAAAGAATGGGAAATATAAGCAAGAGGAATGAGATGCCACAGAACTTTATACTAGAAGTTGAAGTTTTTGATGTTTGGGGCATTGACTTTATGGGACCTTCCCAACCTCTTTTGGTGACCAATACATTCTAGTGGCAGTTGATTATGTCTCAAATGGGTGGAAGCCATCGCCAGCCCTACTAATGATGCACAAGTGGTCATCAAGATGTTTAAATCCATCATTTTCCAAGGTTTGGAGTGCCTAGGATAGTCATAAGTGATGGAGGTTCACATTTCATCAACAGAATCTTTGCCAACCTTTTGAAGAAGCATGGAGTTACTCACAAAGTTGCCTCTCCTTACCACCCTCAAACTAGTGGACAAGTTGAGATCTCAAACAGAGAACTCAAGAGCATACTTCAGAAGACAACAGGCAAGACAAGGAAAGGATTGGAGTGCCAAACTAGATGATGCTCTATGGGCATACCGCACTGCCTTCAAAACACCACTTGGTACCACCCCCTTTCATCTTGTTTATGGTAAAGCATGTCATTTACCTGTGGAGCTGGAGTACAAAGCAGCTTGGGCTATTAAGGAGTTGAACTTCAACCTAAAGACAGCAGGAGAAAGAAGATTGATTCAGCTAAATGAGCTTGATGAGATTAGGCATCTAGCTTATGAGAATTCAAAGATCTATAAGGAGAGAACCAAAGCTTTCCATGACCGCAAGATCATCCCAAAGAACTTCGCGCCAAACGACCAAGTTCTACTATTCAACTCAAGGTTGAAACTCTTTCCAGGAAAGCTTCGCTCAAGATGGTCAGGACCATTCAGGATTAAAGAAGTTCGCCCCTATGGAGCAGTGGTACTATGGGACCCAATGGGAGGAGACTTTACAGTCAATGGACAAAGGTTAAAACCTTACCTAGCTTCCACCACCATACCACAGGAGACCACACTGGCTCTTGGCGATCCACCAGATCCTTAAGGAAGTGCCATACAGTCAAGCTAATGACTTTAAACAAAGCGCTGAATGGGAGGCAACCCATTGAAGGTCATTTCTTTTCATTTTCTTTCTTTAATTTTCTTTTGTTTTGAATATTACCTCTCACCTTAATGTGATTTGCTTTCACCGGGACGGTGCAAGTTAAGTCTGGGGGGAGTTTTATTGTGTTACTAATGCATTTTTCTTTCTTTTCTTATGTTTTATTACTTTGTTTCATGTTTTTCAAAAAGTTTTATTGAGTCAAAAACCAGTCCGGAAGTTATGAACTTGCTTTGAGAATTGAGAGTGTTGTGCTAACAATCCATGACCCTAGAGCAGAAACCAGCTAAAGGCACAAGCCTAACAGAAGCTCTTACAGTGGATCGACATGCTAGCTCAGCAAAATTTCTAAGGTAACCAAGCAATCTAGAGTTAACCTCACCCTTAATCAATCTTAATACTCTTGTCAAGGGGGTTGGCATACATGTCGACAGTTCCTTGCTTGATTTTCAATAAGATTTGTCTAATCTTTAAAGAGTTCTCCTCTCTCTCCCATCCCAAATGGTAAGTAATATTTATGAGAAAAAGCTCAAAGAGCACAAGGAAAACAAGTAAGCATGAGGAATGCATATGTCTGTACCTTCATGTCTTATGGAATACCTTAGTCAAACAAGGAACAAGCTAAAGACTTATCCTGTGGTTGAAAGAAGGGTCAATAGAAAAAATAAAATGATACCCTAGAAAAGTAGGGAGAAATTGACCTTTCAAAGTTCTGATGTGAGAAAGAGAGAGGAAAAGAACTCATTGCACTTAAAGACAATCTTGGAGAAGATCAAGTGGGTAAGAACAAGTTCAATTGATCGATGTCCCCTTGATAAAGAATTCACGCTTTAAATTTATGCAAGAGGTTAGCAATAGAGAGTTTGGATTGCTGGATGAGACTAGTTGGGTTGGTATTGTTCGCTAAACTTGCAGGGTGTATGTGAAGCTAACCTTATGTTGTCTATGTTCTTAGTGGAATACAGGAAAGGAACCTTTCACAGGATATTCAAAAGAGCAAGGGAGTTTCCACGTTTTCAAACCTCTTTCACGGATTTAGATTCTTTTTGCTTGGGGACAAGCAAAGATCTAAGTCTGGGGGAGTTGATATACCTCTATTTTACATGCTTTTTATACTGTTTTAGTATTGTTTTCTAATGGTTTTTGGCAGGTTTTCTATCTAAAAAGGTAGTTTTACTGTGTTTATAGTGTCTAGAGTCTAAACAGGTGAAATGATGCATTTTGGAGCAAAACCATAGGATTTGCACTTCAAGCCGCTCCATGCACAAGCACCAACTTTAAGAGGGCCCAGAAAAAGATCTACTCAATGGATTTCATCAAGACCAGTTCCCTGCGTGCTCTGATTGAGTTAACTTTCCAACGCAACTGGAACGGCCTCATTTGGATGAGTAGAAAAGGAGTTATAACCAAAAGAGTGAAGACTGTCCAGACGGCTCTATCGAGAAATCAGCGCCCAACCGCGAGTCCGGCTGGCCGAGAAACGAATGTTCCGCGCTCGGCCAAATCATCCGTCCGTCTGAAGTCTCGGCCAAAGTTCAAACCACCGGCCGATACGCATCACGACCCGGGAAACAATGTCCCGCGGTCGGCCAAGCCACGACCACGCCATGCCGCGCACGACCATGCCGCGCGAGCCGGGAAGCAACGCCTCGCGGCCGCGCAACCTTCGCGTACCACGGCCGATGGCGCCGTCCGAGCCGGGAAGCCACGTCCCGCGTCCGGCCGAGAAAGCATCGGCCAATGCTTCACCCGTCCGACCACAGCGGCCGACCGCGAATTTGTCCCTGTTGACCTAGCGCTTCTTCCCTATTGATTTACAACCTCGTTTACTTGCTAGTTCTGTTCACCATTACAACCTCAAACCATACTTTTGTTTTAGCTTGATCCAAAATCCATAGTTTCTAAGTGTACTCAATAGCCAGTCCTTGTGTTTGATACCCATAGTTCCGCGATCTGTGCACTTGCAGAGGTCTAAGAGTTTGGTAAAACCTGACTCAACATCAGTAACACAGCAAATTCCTACTAAGAGGAGCCCACTTGACTTTGATCTTGTGCTTCCTGTTTGCCTGATGTACTTGCATTTTGCATCTTTTATGCATCTTTTGCATAGTTTTAGCATCCATTAGCATCATATCTTGTTCCTTTTCTCTTCTTATGCATTCATAGTAGTTTTAGGTTGCATTTGCATACATATGCATGTTTGGTCCTTTGAAATAGGTCTTTTGGAGCATTCTGGAGCATATGGGACGAGAGGAGCATGGAGGACTTGGCACATGGACGCAGCTCAACTGGATACGCAAAGGAAGAAGGAGGAAGCCATCTTGAAGACCAGCTCGACCATCTACTCGACCAACCGGTCGAGTTCCTCAACTCGACCGGCCAAGCTTCAACTCGATCGAGCTGAGAAGTCAACAGTCAAACCCGAAAAATGTTGCTTCCCCCTTGACTTTCCTTTGACCCTAAACCTAATCCTCTTTGTATTTAAAGGCTAAAAGCCACGAAAAAACCACCAAGCTTTAGATTACTTTTGTTTTAGTTTCTTTTAATTTATTGTCTTTTACTTTTTAGAGCTCTAATCCCATCTTTGTGTTCTTGAAGCTCTTGCTTCTTGAATCCTAGATCCTGGATAATCTCTTTTGTATTTGCACTTGCTTATTTCAATAAAAGTTGTTTATTTCATCTCCTCTTTCTTATGATGTCTCTTTTATTGCATTTGCTTGTGTTTACATTCATGTGTAGTGAGTAGTTACCCATTAGGGTTTGAGATGGGATAGATTAGAGGATTTTATGCTTAATCCTTCTTGCTTATGTTCTTAATCTAGAAATCTCTCTCTTTTGGACAAATCTTAAGGCTACATGACCACTACCCCTGGCTTGTATGTCCATAGGCGATTCTCCACATGGAAGTGATGGAAATCGTTGGAAAAGGTCCACTAAGAGCTCCAATAACTCTTGCTCTAGAAATGGAGGTCAAGGGGTTGGATGGATTAGTTTGAGCAATGATCCTATGGCCTCCAAGGCTTGATTCTCACTGGCTAACCCCCTGTTTCTGAGATCAGTCTTGGTTGATAGCTTTCACCTTGGGAAAGGGTTAGCTAGGCATTGAGAAGCTCAATATCAAGAGATACCTTGATACAAGAGTTTGAGAGCAAGATTGATTAAGTATAGCCTTCCTCTGATTGCAAAACCCTGTCTTAGACCCTAATTTTCGTTCTAGCTTGTTAAAGTCGCTGCCTTTATGCTTTTTACTTCAACTCGACCCTAAACTCGATCGAGCTCGGTACTCTGTTCCACTCGACTCGAGTCCTTGGTCGAGCTGTTGCTTACTGCTTTATTTACTTTCTGCATTTCATTTCTTTCATTTAGGTTGTTAGTGTTACCCCATCTATTACTGCTTGCTTGACTTTCCTTGTTGTTTCATATTCTCATAGAGTGACAACTTCTCCCATTTTGGATTGATACCCTTTATGCTATAACAACTATCATGGTTAAAGGGAATTGTTGACTGTGTTTGTGTTTGCATCTTACCACCTCATCATATACCACTGTTGCATTCCACCACATCTCATTTCATATCATTTCACACCCACACACAAATCCTATCATCAATTTGGCGCCGTTGCCGATTTGGGATTATTTTGTTGCATGTGAGTTTCAAATACACTTGGACGATCAAGCTATACAACCCCTGTTCTATTGTACTGCTGGGTTTTTGACCGATTGGTCTAGGAGATGCTCCAAACCGCCACCAACAGAGACAAGGGATTGTTCCACCACCAGTGCAGAACCACAACTTTGAGATCAAGCTGGGAATGATCAACCTTGTTCAGAACAAGATGTTCCATGGATTGCCAAGTGAAGACCCCATTGACCACCTTGATGAGTTTGATAGGCTTTGCGATTTGACAAAGATCAATGGTGTCTCTGAAGATGCCATCAAGCTGAGACTCTTTCCTATGTCTCTAGCTGACAAAGCTCACCAATGGGAGAAGAGCTTGCCCCATGGCACAATCACCACTTGGGATGAATGCAAGAAGGCCTTTCTTGCTAAGTTTTTCTCCACCGGTCGCACAGCCAAGCTAAGGAGTGAGATCTCGAGTTTCATACAGAGGAACAACAAGACTTTTGCTGAGGCTTGGGAGAGGTTCAAAGGGTACACAAGTCAGTGCCCTGACACCATGGATTCAACAATGAATCACTACTCTCCACTCTTTATAGAGGATGCTTGCCAAGGTATAGAGAGATGCTAGACACACTAGCAATGGGAACTTCCTCACCAGGATGTAGATGATGGCTGGCAACTTGTGGAGAACATAGCCAACTCGAATGGAAGCTATGGAGAAGAGTATGATCGCACCAATCGGAGCTCGACCCACCACTCGATCGAGTCATGAGAAGTTGAGAAAAGATGTTAAGGCATTGAATGAGAAGTTGGATAAGCTGATCTTAGCTCAGTCCACTATGAAGAAAGTCAACTTTGTGTCTGCTGAAGAGATGGAACCAGTCCAAGAAGGGGAGGATACACAATTTGCTGAGGTGTGCTACATGAGCAATGGGCAAGGAGGTTACAACAAAGGATACTATAATTACAAGTCCAACCCTGCCATGTCATACCGAAACACTGATGTTGCTAACCCTCAGGACCAGGTCTATCCTCAACAACAGCAAGCTCGATCGAGTCAAGCCCCACAACATGGGTATGGTCAAAAGAACAATTACCAAGGACCCCAAGGGACTTTCCCTAGACAACAAATGAATATACCACCAGGCTTTCCCCACCAACCACCCCAGCCTGCACCTACGCAAGAGAATGAGCTCAAGGCAATGCTAAAGCAACTACTTCAAGGGCAAGCTGATGGGGTAGTGGACACAAGCAAGAAGCTAGCTGAAATAAACTCCAAGATCGAGAATCTCAACACAAGGGTTTACTCTCTGGAGAATCATGCTTCTTCTGTTGCTGCTGCTACAAAGCAAGGACAACTACCTGGTAAAGCTATTCAGAACCCCAAGGAACAGTGCAAGGTCATCTTCACTCAAGAAGGACTTGTTGAAGAAGAGGATCAAGAAAGGGTCATTGAAGATTTTTGTTTACTGCTGAATGATGATGAGATTGTTGCTGCTGAGGCTCCTGGAGTCCAGATTGATCAACCAGAAGTGTTGGACCTGGATTTCCCTCCAGAAATCCGGCCCATAAGGCCCATCACTAAGTCCTAAGATCAAGATAAGTCCACTCAGGCCCAGTAAAATGACCTCGAGCCCACCAAGTATCCTTGTCCAAAATCCAGCTGTTTACTGTCCGAGCTACTTGTGAAGACGAAGTCGAGCTCTAGCTCGACGGAGTCGAGTCCACAAGCTGAGTTTGAACGAGTCAAACGAGAATCTCGCTTCGACTGTTCAGATCCGGAAATAGCGGGATCGGTAGTTGCACGTGGACGAGATACGCGGAGGAGGTTGCGATCTACTTCGGTGCTATAAAAAGAGGACGATTCTTGATCACAAGGCAGAATGTTCCTTTCCTGGACAATAAATCTCTATCTTTCTCACTTCTGAGAACATAAGTTCTTCACGTCTTGATAGCTTCTTTTCACGCTGAGATAACATCCGGATATCTCTTCGATCTTATCCTTGGTCTTTGAGATAATCCCAGAAAGCCCTGATCTTTCTAGCCGGAAATCACTTCCGGCAGAAGTTCGACATAATCTCTTACCTTCGGATCACTCCGATAACCTGAGATTTATCGTCATCTTCACACCCCCTTTAGCTCTTTTCGTGGTCATTTCTCTTCAGAAAACGACTCGAAATAGAGAACAACTTACAATCGAACTACGTTCTGGCTTGATCCCTAAAACAGGGTACGTAGGCAGCTCGTTAACGAGCGCAGCCACCACCTCATTTCCATCTCTTTTGCTTAGTCGAATCCTAGTGTTTTACATGGTCTTTCAGGCCGGTTTTGTAACCACTTTATTCGATTAGCCTAAGTCCGATTTCGTCAAATATTTGTCTACGAATCATTCGACTTACATCAGAATCTAACCTCTGATTCCACAGGCAATTTCTCCCTACAAAATACACATAAATTTTGAGTGTGGTTTTCCGAACCCTAAATCCCTTGATTACTTCATCTCGATTCCTCTCCATTACTTGTTTTCTCTTTGATTTTGATTGCATGTGCCCCTTGTGGGTTTATTCTTGAGTAATTGCTTTCATAATCATTCCATTGTGATTTTGCCTCACCCCACCTCTGTTTCACTATTAAGAACTTGTTGCATGTGCTTGAAACATTGAATTTGAGTTTGGTATTGGTTAAGATGCTTAGGGTTTCACTAAGATTGCTCATTGTTCCTTTTATATGTTGTTTTTGGTTCAATTTGTTCAATAGGCGTCCTTTTCAGTTCTATTTGTTTGAATTAGGTTCGGTTATACTCTGTTTTAACTTACCTTGATCGAGTTTGTCACTTGAGTTCTTTTACTCGATCGAGCTGAGTGTCGAGTTGACCAAACCGATCATTACAACTCTAATTCCTTGTAATCTTTGATGCATTTCAGGTACTTGAGTGAAGAAACAGTGTAACAGAGATGACAAACAGTGGAGGAAGTCGCGCTTCACAGAGGAGAATGGTTGAGGGTGAATCAAGCAATGCAAGGGAGAGAAGGCTTAAAATGCAAGCTGATTTGGAGGCAATGACTCAAAGGATGGAAGAGTCTGATGCAGAGGACTATGTATACTCTGAGGAAGAGTCTGAGGTTGAGAGATTGAGGGAGGAAAGGAGGACCAAGAAGAGAAATGACCCCATTAGAAGTGAGAGTGAGCAAGGGGAGTTTGAGATTGGAGTGAACCTTGTTCAAGAGGAGGGAAATGGCTCTCCAAGTGAAGAAGGAAGTGATGAGACTGAGAGTGAAGAGGAAGGAGAAGAGGTAAATCAGTTGGTTGAAGAAAGTGAGCAAGAGCTCCAATAACTCTTGCTCTAGAAATGGATTTCAAGGGGTTGGATGGATTAGTTTGAGCAATGATCCTATGGCCTCCAAGGCTTGACTCTCACTGGCTGACCCCCTGTTTCTGAGATCAAGTCTTGGTTGATAACTTTCACCTTGGGAAAGGGTTAACTAGGCATTGAGAAGCTTAATATCAAGAGATACCTTGATACAAGTAGTTTGAGAGCAAGATTGATTAAGTATAGCCTTTCTCTGATTGCAAAACCCTGTCTTAGACCCTATTGTTCGTTCTAACTTGTTAAAGTCGCTGCATGTACTGCTTTTTCCTTCAACTCGACCCTAAACTCTATCGAGCTCGGTACTCTGTTCCAACTCGACTCGAGTCCTTGGTCGAGCTGTCGCTTTACTGCTTTATTTACTTTATGCATTTCATTTTTGCTTCATTTAGGTTGTTAGTGTTACCCCCTATCTATTACTGCTTGCTTGACTTTCTTGTGATTTCATATTCTCAAAGAGTAACAACTTCTCCCATTTTGGATTGATACCCTTTATGCTATAACAACTATATGGTTAAAGGGAATTGTTGACTGTGTTTGTGTTTGCATCTTACCACCTCATCATATACCACTGTTGCATTCCACCACATCTCATTTCATATCATTTCACACCCACACACAAATCCTATCATCAATTTGGCGCCGTTGCCCATTTGGGATTATTTTGTTGCATTTGAGTTTCAAATACACTTGGACGATCAAGCTATACCACCCTTGTTCTATTGTACTGCTGGTTTTTTGACCGATTGGTCTAGGAGATGCTCCAAACCGCCACCAACAGAGACAAGGGATTGTTCCACCACCAGTGCAGAACCACAACTTTGAGATCAAAAAGATTGTCACGATTCATGAGAGCAAAGAGATGGCCGTTGTGTAAAGACGACAACTCCATTATTAGAGTAAAGGCCCAAACCAACAAAGTCAAGCCCACAAGTCCATGAGTTTTAGGGTTGTAAACAGTCTCCTATATATTGTCTTGTAATGAGAACATTGAATGTATCTTTGGAGTTGCATTTGTGCAGCTCCCTTCTTCAACATTTATATGATCTCAATCTAGTCTTACTTCTCTTGGTGACAAGCTTATAGCTTCTTCCTTCTCTTTACATTTCCTCCACAATAAAGCTCCTTTGAGCTATGTCTTTTTCATTTTCGTTTATGTGTCAATAAGCTCTCTTTAGAGCACAAATCTTCTTTGTTTCACAAACTCTATCATGGTATCAGAGCCATATAAGCTCTTACAGGCGAAAATGGTGATCTTTTATCTTCCGCATACGTTGTTCATGCCACTCTCATTCTGATTTCGAAGACCATAGTAGATCCAAGACCAGTCAAGTCATTTTTGCTTTTCAAGTCCCTGTTTCTCAAGCTAAAAGAAGAGTACCAGTGGAGGAGAAGGGGCAGCGAGTGTTTGTTGTGTTCACGGACAATATTGTGTTAAGCTTAACAGCCACAATATGGCATGTTACCTTCATCTCTTCCTCCACGGTAATGTTTCTGTCATTCAATCTCACACAGAACCAGAAGATGTTGTGTTCAATAGGTTCGTTATATTGAGAGAATGTGGATTTTGTCTGTTTGGTGGTTTGCTGGCTGGTTTAGTTTGTTAGGTCTGGAATCTAGATGGGAGTTTGGGTTTGATGAAGATGAAATCGAAATATATTGTCTTGGGTTTGATAAAGTTGGTTGTTTGGCTGCAAGTTCCTGTTTTTGCTGAGTGCACACAACCTGTTCGATGAAATGCCACAGTGAAAACAAGATTGTGAAAATGCGAATTGCTGTTGGCTGATGGATGAGAAGCAGTTAGTAAGTAGGATTAGTAGATGTGGAAAGAGAGGTCTTTTCGTCATGAGACAGGTTTAGGGGAATGAAACGGGTAGAGAAGGAGAAGATCCAGCTATCGTGTTAAGCTTAACAGCCATGATCTGGAATCTCACCTTCATCTCCTCCTCCACGCTTTAAGATTTTTCTCAATCTGTCAATCAGCTACTTAGTCAGAGAGAAGGAGAAGATGCAGCGTTTCTGTGATATTGTGTTAAGCTTAACAGCCACATATGACCTGAGATGCAAGCTTTTCCATCTTTTCATCCATGAAACAGAGAGTGAGTTGTGTTATCAAGTCCAATGTGATCAAAGCTTCAAACTTGTCATCTTGTTTCACCCGACGCCAAGTTTGCGGGGGAGTATTAGAGCAAAGGCCCAAACCAACAAAGTCAAGCTCACAAGTCCATGAGTTTTAGGGTTGTAAACAGTCTCCTATATATTGTCTTGTAATGAGAACATTGAATGTATCTTTGGAGTTGCATTTGTGCAGCTCCCTTCTTCAACATTTATATGATCTCAATCTAGTCTGACTTCTCTTGGTGACAAGCTTATAGCTTCTTCCTTCTCTTTACATTTCCTGCACAATAAAGCTCTTTTGAGCTATGTCTTTTTCATTTTCGTTTATGTGTCAATAAGCTCTCTTTAGAGCACAAATCTTCTTTGTTTCACAAACTCTATCATCCATCACATCGCAAAAGGAGACTAATTTTTCCCTCGATATTGTTGAGTTGTCCATAAGAAAAGTAGAACGTATGGCATGCATGTTGACTAGATTCCTCGGAAGATCCACATAAAAAGTTATATCATGCAAGAGTAAATCCCATTTGCCGCTAAACCCATACTTTCCTTTATCCGCAAAAAGACTTACATGAAGAACGAATTTAAGTAAGTGGTGGTGGCGTGAATTGTGTACCTTGAAGGCGGCTCCAAAAGTAATCATGTCACTGAGAGGACGCATCACGGGTTTCAAGCCAAGCAACAAAATGAGAAGATGTGATCTCAATCGTAGAAAAAGCCACTCCGTAAAACCTAAGTTTGCACTTTCTCGACACATGGTAGCAATGAGGAACGGTGTTGGTATCATGAGGTCATACACCAACGTAATTCTTTCCATACTTGAATACTGGAAATGTTGAACTTCAAAATACACGCTAGAAAGTAATACAAGACGTTGACATACTTTGCTTCCTTCACAATTTTCTTCAATCATTTCTTCAAATGTAGTGAGAAATATACGTATGGAAATACGGAACTGATCATACTTCCTCACGAGCTCAGGTGATAATAGCATTATTATTACGCTATCTCGAACACATAAATCCCCATGCCTTTTATGTGAATAAAAAGCTTCAATATTGGAGAAATCTTTGCTTGTTATTTCATTTGGTTGAAGAACTCGATCACAATCCGGAGGCTCAAATTTTTCACTACAGAAAACAACAAGGGCTCTATTATTCTCAGCTTGGATCTGATCATGATCTATACCAACACAACTGTTAAAAATCGTTGGAACACAGACCTGTTTGGCACGCAAATTCTCTTTGCGACCCCGATCTGGTGGATCTCTATTGACTTGCCAACAACGATTTGCAACACAACCATCACTAACTTGACTTCTCTTATCCAGATGTGTATATCCTATTATCTCGTCTATGTCGGCTGTGTGGTGTACGTCATAGCTTCGATCTTTGTAATTCCTGGTATCGAGGATTGGACCCTCATAGTAAGCAAGCTTCGTAGGACATACTTTTCCAAAAGAAAGTCAAATATGGGATCATCATCGTAGCTGTCAAAAACCACAGTAACACATACATTGTTGGAGAGATCTTCATCACTACGACTAAATAAATTTGTGTTGCGACTCTCTAGGAGCTCATGAACTCCGATGAGCTCAATCTCTTGTTCATGAACGCCGATGAAGACATTGGCCGAAATTTCATCACTAATGATATCCACTGGATTTGCATTCTCGCCTTCATCGCAAATCAGATATGTACCATCACCAACGCCTAAGATCGGAATTGTCTCATCATAGACACAAGCGCCAGAGATCGGATTTGTGTCATCATAGACATCAAAGATTAGAGCTCCATGAATCTCTTTGAGAAGAACATCGACTTCGTCATCATCGAAGAATACATCATCTCGTGGAGGTAAAACATGTGATTGTTGGAGCACTTGTAGAACAGGTTCCATGGACAGTCGTAACTTGTCGCATAGATCTTGTTCAAACCTCGCCAGAAATTCTCGCAAGGCAATAGCTTGCGTATCACTTCGTTGTTGCAGATTCTTTTCTGGTGCTATAATATAGGACCGTTTTGCCTCTGATACCAACTGATGGAGAGCGGAAGCTAGATAACGAAGATACACGAGATTTGTGTATAATCGGGTTTGAAATAAACGTAGAAGATCTATGTTTAGATCGATAGGTTGGCAATACTCTTCCCCGTGCTATGAAAAGCTCGTTTAGCTACAAAAGATTAAGGTTTATTCAATATCAAAGTTTTCTTTACAAATCTACAGAACATCCTATTTATACAATCGGAGGAAGATCTTAATAGTATCTCGTGATCCTAATCTACAAGGAATTATAGTTATCCTTAAGTAAAATAAATCTATCAATTAAATATAGATATACCCTTGCTTGACAAACACGTAGAGCCCAACAAAAGTGTTTGTCGTTAAAAGCCCAAATCTATATTATTCGCTGCATCAGATCTTAACAAAACCAGTTTTGACGACATTATGGGCGTTTGAAGGCTTTCGAGGACAAGTACGTGACGAAGATGAGAGTAAAGAAGACCAAAGCAAAGGTCTAACACATAGAAAAGGTCAAACTAGTCAGCGCATGACAACAACTCTAACAACTCCAATAGGGGAAGAGGTCGTGGAGGATCCTATAGGGGAAGAGGACGAGGTCGATCTTCTTATGAAGATAGAGATACATTGAATGTTACAGTGTTACAGGTGCCAAATTGGGTCATTATGAGTCTGACTGTCCACATAGATTGCTAAAAGGTACGAAGACTGAATCATTGAGAAACAGCATGTTCTCACTCCAAATAAAAGGTACACCGTGACTTTCATGTCATACGAATTAAGATTGTTTTTATTAAAACTTAAAAATAGAAATTACACATTGTGTTTAGCTAATGTTAAACATTAAAAAAAAAATGTGTTTGCCAATGTGTAACATAAAGAGAAATGACATTACGAGAAATGTAGAATAAACTAAAACATCACACAGCATTGTGAAAGTATTAAATGTGTAATTCATATTTCTCATTAAAGGAAAATGTGTGTACTGTACAAGCATATACTCCCTCTGTTTCATTTTATAAGGGATTTTAGAGTTTGACACAAAGATTAAGAACTCATTTATTTTTTTAAGCTTTCAAAATAAAGTACATTTTGTCATTAATTCCAATACAAATAAACCAATGAAAAAGTAATTTGCATCATTAAAAGAATAAAAAGCAACAAAAGTATATTTAATTTTGCATAGAAACCTCAAAACACCTTATAATATGAAACAAAAAAAAAACTCTAAAACCCCTTATATTATGAAACAGAGGGAGTATATAATATGATATACTAGCCAAAGGAAACTCTTATCTCACTTATCAAATAAACCGGATTAATAACCGGACTATACACTCAATACACCCCCCTCAAGCCACTGTTTCAGAACCTTGCTGTGATGAAAAGAGGCTTGAAACTGACATACGATTGAGATTGAGAAGGGAGAAGAATGGACCAGGATGTAGCGGTTTAGTGAGAATATCAGCATGTTGATTCTCGCTGGCAACACACATGAGCTTCAAGAAGCCATTCTTGACTTGATCACGCACAGTGTGACAATCAATCTCTACATGCTTAGTACATTCATGGAACACCGGGTTTGTAGCAATGTAGATAGCAGACTTGTTGTCACCAAAGAGCTTCGCAGAGGTGCATACGTCAATCTGCAGAAACGTGAGCAATTGTTGCAACCAAAACAGCTCACAAGTCGTTTGAGCCATACTCCGATATTCAGACTCCGTGCTGCTACGACTCACCACAAATTGCTTCTTTGACTTCCATGTGATTAAAGACTTGCCAAGATACACAGTATCCAGTGATGGAACAGTCCCCCAATCAGCATCGGAAAATGCATTCAGACAGATAGATGAAGAAGCAGAGAAGAAGAGACCCTGAACCGGGTTATTCTTGAGGTAACGTAGGATCTTGTGTGCAGCACCGAGATGCACATCCGTCGGGCAATGCATGAACTGACTCAGGCAATGCACAGCAAAGGTAATATCCGGCCTTGTGATGGTCAGGTATATTGAGACGACCCACCAAAGTACGATATGATGCAAGGTCAAGCAAATCAGTGCCTGATTCCTTAGTCAACTTGACGGTTGGATCCATCGGAACAGAGCTCGGTTTGCATCCCAAAAGACCAGCATCAGATAAAAGATCAAGGCATATTTGCGTTGACAAACAGATATTCCAAGGGAAGAGCGAGCTATCTCGAGGCCAAGGAAGAAACAAAGTTCGCCAAGATCCTTGATTTTGAATTCTGAGCTGAGAGACGCCTTGATGGAAGCAACCTCCTCGTCACTGTTACTAGCAATCATGATGTCATCAACATAGACTAAAACCGCTATAAGTTTGGCACCAACTTTTTGGCAAAGAGCGTGTTGTCAGAGGCAGATTGCTTGAAACCAGAGCGAAGAAGAACATCCGACAAACTGTTATACCATTGTCGCGACGCTTGTTTCAACCCGTATAAGGACTTGTGAAGGCGGTAAACCGGATTCGGAGGCAAAGTACCAGACGTGGGAGTATAGCCCTGAGGCAAGCTCATGTATATCTCCTCATCCAAATCACTGTGGAGAAAAGCGTTAGACACGTCCATTTGGCAGAGACTCCAACCTTTGATAGCCGTTAAAGCAAGAAGAAGCTTCACACTAGTGAGCTTGGCAACAGGAGAAAATGTTTCGGTAAAATCCACACCCTCCTGCTGTGTGGAACCCTTCACAACCAACCAAGCCTTATACCGTTCTATAGTCCAATCAGCCTTATACTTGATCGTATACACCCATTTACAACCCACCACATTCTTACCAAGAGGCAATGATTCAATAGTCCAAGTCCTGTTTACTTCCATGGCCACAAGTTCTTTGTTCATGGCATGTCTAAAATGTGGAGAAGTCATATCCTGTTTGAATGTCGTTGGTTCCGTCTCAAGGGAATAAGAAAGAACATATGACTGATATAATGGGGTAAGAGCTGAATAGGTAAGAACGTTTTAGAGGATAAACGGTTGTGGAAGGAATAGATTCAGATGGAGGAATATCAAAAGGAGTGGCAAAAGGTTTAGAAATTTGAGTAAGTGAACAGTGGTACTCATATAAGTAACCTGGAGCCTTAGGCACACGCTTAGGTCGTGACATGCCATTGAGTAGGCGACTCTGTCCTGTGCCCTATGAAACAGTCTCCCGTGATATAGAAGTGGCATTAGAGCGTGATGCAGATGCATGAGAGGTATGAGATGCATCAGTAGCATGAGAAATATCAGAAGCACAGGAGAATGAGATGCAACAGGAGCAATATCAGAAACAGGTGAATTAAAATCAAGACCAACCGGAATAGGTAAAGGTAAAATAGTTTTCGAAAACACATCTGTAGAAACAGTAGAAGAACTAGTTTTACATGGAAAAACATTTTCATGAAAAATCACATTGCTACTGATGGAGACAACATTAGTATCCAAATGTAAAACCTTGTAACCTTTGCGACCCAAAGGATAGCCTAAGAAAACACATGCATCAGCTCGAGGCGAAAATTTATGACGATCCTAAGCAAAGTAGAGACATAGCAAAGACAACCAAATGATCGAAGAAAAGAGTAATCAGGTGTCTTCTTAGCCAGAACCTCAAAAGGACTTAGCTTATCCAAAAGTAAAGATGGAGTGCGACTGATGACAAAAACAGTTGTATAAATGTAATCACTTCAATAAACCAAAGGCAGATTTGATTGAAACAGTAAAGCACGGGCAACGTTAAGAAGATGTTGATGCTTACGTTTGACTACTGAATTCTGCTGTGGGGTATATGCACAAGAATATTGATGGATAATGCCAAGATCATGAATGAGTTTAGGAAAAGCAAGTTCAGGTCCATTGTCACTACGTATCATTTTAATAGTCAATTGATATTGAGTCTGAATATGATTCAGAAAAGATGGAAAAATTGTTGAAACTTCACTTTTATTACGCATCATATAAATCCAGGTTACACGACTACAATCATCAACAATGGGAAGAAAGTACTTGTAACCCTCTAGAGATTCAACTAAAAACGGACCCCAGACATCCAAATGAACAAGATCAAATGGAGCTGTTGACAAACGACTATTTGAAGGAAAAGAAAGACGTTTTTGTTTAGCTAAAGGACAAATGCTACAATGATCAGAACTAGCACCTTTACGCAAATGCAGAATACCAGAAAGATGTTGTAACTTGCCAGGAGATGGATGTCCAAGGCGTTGATGCCAAAGAAGACCATCGTCATGCAAGGATCCACAGAAATTGGAAGAAGGAGCAGCAGTGACTTGAAGAATGTAGAGATTGTTGATAAGAGTGCCTCTACCAATCATCAAGCCCTGAATAGACTCCTGGATAATGCAATGATCAGCATTAAAATGAACAGAACGATTATCATGTTTAAGCAAGCTACTAACGCTGATGAGATTGAAGCGAAATGAAGGAATATGCAGAACATTATGCAATGTCAATGATGAATGAATATGCACGGTGCCTCTATGACTAATTTTTTCTCTAATGCCATTAGGGAGAGAGACTGTAACACCGGACACCGGAAAGGTCTCACTAAACAAAGACAGATCAGAGAAAACATGAGTTGTGGCTCCACTGTCAATTATCCAAGAACCACTTGGTAAGGAATTGTAAAGAGAAGATAAACACTGATGTTGGAAAGTAAGGCAATTGTTCTCAAAGCGAAGGCTAGAAGAAGGAAAAGGGATATTAGAAGATGGAAAAGAGACGATACCAGCAGACGATTTAGCAACCATATGACCTCCCTCAGTAATAGACGCACGTTGAACGGGAACATGAGACTCAGGAGGCTTAACATGACTTTGGAGCTGTTGAATCAGAGTCTGGAATTGATCAGTATTGAGTTGACTGAGATCGATGTTGATCGCATTCGTGGCAGGAGCTGGCAAGTAAAGAGGAGAGGCAGTCATCACATTCGCCACTGTGTTAGTCTTCTGAAAAGACTGAGAGTGAGTACGATTCTGATTCTGGCCACGAGACTGCGGAGAGGATTGTTGTTGTCCCGGAGCTATGTGAAACTTGTGCCCTGGAGGATAGCCATGAAGCTTGAAGCACTTTTGAATGACGTGACCAAGCTGACCACAATGAGTACAAACCGGACGTTGGCGAGGACGATAAGTGTTGTTATATTGAGTAGCAAAAGCAGCATTATCAGAAAGACTCTCAGTTGACAAAGAATGACTATTATTATGAGGCCCAGAGTTCTGAAAAACAACATTGTCCTGCCTCGAGCTTGGCTTAATGGACTTCTGGCGTTCATCTGGCGCAACCATGTTGAATGCATCTTCAAGAGAAGGAATAGGTTTCATCATCAAGATATGGCGACGAGTTGGCTCAAAAGCTTCATTAAGACCCATCAAGAACTTCATAACTCTGCTTCTCTGTTGTAAAGATTCCCATAGAGCAGCAGCATTACACTCACATCGACCACACATACACACAGGGAGCTCAATCTAGTTCTTATACTCTTCCCAGAGAGTCTTCAACTCAGTATAGAAACTACTAACATCCATAGAGCCTTGTTCTAGAGTGCCTAATCGTTGTTCTAACTCAAATACACGCGGTGCATCATCCTGCTTAAACCTAGCTAGAATGTTCTTCCAAATCGATTCCGCAGTGCTTGTAAACAACAAGTTCTGAGCAATTTTCTTACTCACTGAGTTCATTATCCAGGTAGTGACCATATCGTTGCATCGCGACGATCCGCATGTGGCTTTGGAATCGTTCCGTCAATGAAACCCAGCTTGTTACGAACATTCAACGCCATCCGAACAGAGCGACGCCAAGAGTGAAAGTCTGCGCCAGATTGAAGACGATCGGAGACGATAATTAAGCCGGCATGATCGGAACTGTGAAGAAAATATGGATTTTCGTATTGATCCATGAATTGAGGCGAAGCAGGATTCGCAGTCATCATGAAGAAGAATTGTGCCGAAAAAAATGACAAGGCAACAATCAAGAGGCCAACAAAAAAGAGAAATGACGAGAAAGAAGACGACCGAGATTCGGCGTAAAAAGGATGAAATCGGTGACAAAAAAGCAATTGTGAGCTCGGAGAGTAAGCACAACGGTGAGAGACTCATCGATTTGAAGCAATGGAGGGAAGATCCCAAGGGATTTGAGCTGGATCGAAGGAAATCGCACCGAGAAAGTGCCGAGAAAACACAAGAAAGCGGAAAAAAGAAAATGAGAAAGTTTGTTATTTTCTCTGTGATACCATATTAAATGTGTAATTCATATTTCTCATTAAAGGAAAATGTGTGTACTGTACAAGCATATATAAGCCAAAGGAAACTCTCATCTCACTTATCAAATAAACCGGATTAATAACCGGTCTATACACTCAATAGAAAGGTTTCTACAACACCCACCCGAACTTTCAGAAGGCACAACGATCTCCGTTCAGATCCTCACGACGGGTTTTGGCTGGCGTAACCGACTGTGCCGTATAATTTACCGGCGGAGGTCTGTGTTCTCTGCGAGAAGTTTAAGTCACATTACCTTGGGACACATAACGGGAGGAGCTTATCTTGGCAGACTAATATGGGAACAGCTGATGTCAAAGCGACGTTTTGTAAAGCTCACTGGCATGAGCTAAATGTTTCTGTTGAACTAAGCTTGAAGAAAGCTTGAGCTGCAAGCCAAACCTAATCCTATTGTGATGAGGATTCCTAATGAGTTTAGGACTTAGATTATATTTCGGAGTTATTTAGATACAGAGTCTAATAGGATTAGGATATTGAATGTCTATATAAGGAGATGTCAATGTGTGACATAACTTATGAGTTTAGAGATTGAGAGCTTAGGTTTTTGAGTGAGTTTTCTTAAGCAATAAAGAAGAGTTTCTTTTAATCTTTGAGTTCATCTTTGTGTTACGATTCTACAGTTTTGAGGAGGATTGGTTTGTTGGGAACGAGAAGTTTGCGAGCAAGTTTTATATAGTGAAGATAGGGACTGTGGGGGCGCAGAAGGAGACGGAGCCGAAGAAGTTAGAGTTGAGGAAGTGATATACCTCTATTTACACTTTTTATACTGTTTTAGCATTGTTTTCTAATGGTTTTTGGCAGGTTTTCTATCTAAAAAGGTAGTTTTACTGTGTTTATAGTGTCTAGAGTCTAAACAGGTGAAATGATGCATTTTGGAGCAAAACCATAGGATTTGCACTTCAAGCAGCTCCATGCACAAGCACCAACTTTAAGAGGGCCCAGAAAAAGATCTACTCAATGGATTTCATCAAGACCAGTTCCCTGCGTGCTCTGATTGAGTTAACTTTCCAACGCAATTGGAATGGCATCATTTGGATGAGTAGAAAAGGAGTATACAAAAGAGTGAAGACTGTCCAGACGGCTTATCGAGAATCAGCCGCGCACACCGGCCCGAGGAACGAACGTACTGTGCTCCCCGCATGTATCCGCATCTCGGCCAAGTCCACGCCGGCCTCACGTCCCGACCCGGGAAAGCAACGTCCCGCGGTCGGCCGCTCCAGCTCACACCACAAGCCGCGCACGACCGCCGCGCGAACCGGAAGGCAACGCCTCGCGGCCGCGCAACCCATGTACCGCGGCCGACCCATCCGTCCGACCGGGAAGCACGTCCCGTCCGGCCAAGTTTCATCGGCCAAATCATCCGTCCGACCACGCGGCCGACCGAACTATCCGGCCACGACGTCCCGACCGTCCGATGGCCGACACGATCCGATGTCCGGCCGATCGTCCCGACGACCGTCCCAACGGTCCGGTCGACCCGAAGCCCGTTTCACACGTTTTCAAGCCCGGCTTAACCCTAAGCCGCCTCTGAAGACCTAGCACTATATATAACTTTTTAGCCTCTTGAGAAAGAGAGCCGCCCTTGTATTTCGATTTCCTACTCTAAGTTTTATTGCAATCATGTTTTCTTCATCTCTATGTGTGTTTGCTTTGATCATGTCTGAGTAATCCACTAGTTAGGTTGCTAGGGTTACTATTCAATGAGTTGCTTGCATGATCTTTGATTTCAATGATTAGCTAGGGATTATATTAGAGTCTTTGTCTCGTCTTGTGCACTTAACTAATGCTGATTGCTTTACCGCGCATCTAGTAATCCGATCTTAGGTTGATTTGAGCCTCGACAGTGCTGTATCATTCGCCGGACATATTCTTTGACAAGCTAGGTTTCTTAGACTGCGAAAGTTGATCTACTATATCTAGTGAACTGTATCAGAACCTATTCATTCTAAAGCTTGATTTAATCACCTAGGGACATACCAAAAGTTTAGCGACTAGGTAGATTAACAAAGGAGCCGGAGCCTCGAAAGTGGAATGGTTTTATATTCGTGATCTGTGTTCTAGATGGTTCTTAATATCCCAATATCCCTAATCAATTCATCTATCATTGTTTCATTGATCATTGCTTGCTTCTCTGCGATAGCCCCTATGACCTAGCGCTTTTCCTTTATTGATTTACAACCTCGTTATACTTGCTAGTTCGGTTCACCATTACAACCTCAATCATACTTTTGTTTTAGCTTGATCCAAAATCCATAGTTTCAAAGTGTACTCAATAGCCAGTCCTTGTGTTCGATACCCATACTTCCGCGATCTGTGCACTTGCAGAGGTCTAGGAGTTTGGTAAAACCTGACTCACATCAAGTTTTTGGCGCCGTTGCCGGGGACTGCAGCAGTACCTTTGGAACTCGACTAGGATCTAGTCTAGAACCTTTTTTTTGTTTTGCTTTTCTTTTGCTTTTGAATTTTTCCCTTTTGATTTAGTTTGTTTCCTAGACTCTTTTCAGGTGCATGACTAGGAGGTCCAACAAGGACAACCTAGTTGAACATCCAGAGATAGACAAGCTCGAGAAGCAACTTAGGAAGCAAAAAGCCCAAGAGATGGCCGACGAAGCAGCTCGCGCTCACGCCGCTGAAGTGGCGCGCGCTAAGAAGAAGGAAGAGATCCACCTCCTCCTCCTCCTAATCCACAAGATCCTGCTGGAGATGTGAATGTGCACAACCTCAAGCTGGAGCACCTACAATCGGAGACTATGACTCTGCCGATGCTTTCTTCATGGATAGAAACCCTATCCATCCACCACTTCCTGCAAGGAATGACTATGAGATCAAGCCTCAGATCATAGCATTGGTTAGACAGAACCAATTCAATGGCCTTCCAGCTGAGCATCCTCTTGATCACATAGAAAACTTTGAAGAAATTTGCAGCACTACAAGATCCAATGGAGTCTCTGCTGACTACCTTAAGTGCAAGCTCTTTTCATTCTCTCTTGGCGACAAAGCTTCAAGATGGTTGAAGTCTCTGCCAGCTCACTCCATACCACTTGGGATGAGTACAAGGCGCTTTCATCAACCACTTCTACACCAAGCAAAGATCAGTTTCTGTAAGGAACAAGATCTCCAACTTTCGCCAAGCCAACAATGAATCTTTCTATGAGGCGCTAGACCGATTCAAGGAGTACATTAGGGACTGCCCTAATCATGGTTTCAATGAGGGAAACCTATGGAACATCTTCTATCGTGGCATAGACCACAAGTACAAGCTTTCATTGGATACTGCAAGCAATGGAAACTTCATGACCAAGACTGTTGATGAAGCTAAGGTTCTTATTGAGAATCTTGCAGCTAGTGATTGTAACAACTGTCCTGATTATGACCGCTCAAGCCGCACCACTACTAGCTCCCCTGATTCTTTTCAAATGACTGAACTCAAGAACATGATGGCTCAAGTTCTTAAGGGACAGCTCAAGCATATCAATGCAATAGAAGGGATGAGTGATGCTAATGAAGACCCATCAAGAGAATGCATGGGAGATTTCTCTAATGAAGCCAATGAAGAAGATGTGAACTACATTGGAAACTATGGGAACAAGGGATACAATCCAAGCTATCGCCCAAACCCCAACATGTCTTATAGAAACCCCAATGTGGAGAATCCTCAAGACCAAGTGTATCCTCCAAGGTATCCACAACAACAAAGACCTCCTTACCAATCTCAAGGAAGTCAATTTCAGCCAAGGCAAGGTATGAGCAGAGATCATCATATCCGCCCAAGGAGCCATATGCTTCTTCACCAAATCAAGCTCCTCCAAACCAACAAGGGGAGATTTGAAGGAATCCTCCAACAGATCATGGATGGCCAGAAGAGAAACAAAGAGATGTATGAGAAGATGGACACTTTGTTCAGCAATCTCAACACCAAGTATGATGCTGTTGCCACTCATGTGAAGAAACTAGAGACTCAAGTCACTCAAACTATGGAAGCTGTTAAGAGACAGGAAGCTGAATCCAAGAAGTCCTTTTGCAACTCAGCCGCCATAGAAGAAAGATTTGAAGACCAAGTTCCAGAATGGATGCTTTCAAAACCTACTGTTGATTGCATGATTTGGCCTGAAGAGAATTACCCAGAGAGAGAGTCCAATCGAGCTAGAAAGAGAAGACTCTTCCCAAAGATTATCCCCAAGACTGATAACTCAGGAAAGTTTGTTGCCTTGTATCATCAAAGGTAACATTCTTGAGCAATCTTTGTGTGACACAGGAGCCAATGTGAACATCATGTCTAAGAGGATAGCTGACAAGATAGGCCTCACCAAGATAGAGCCATCATCCATCTCCATCAACTATGCTGATTCATTCTCACAAACCCCTATGGCTTTGTGCCTAATGTGATGGTGCAGATTGGAAATTGCTCTATCCCTACCGATTTCCAGATTGTGGAAATGAGAGAGAGTAGCCATAGACCTCTCATATTTGGAACCCCTTTCCTGTCTACTGTGGGTGCCATATTTGATTTCCCCAATCAAAGAATCTCTTTCAACAAGGTGAACAAGGGTATGTTCTTCCCTATGTGTTCAACAAAGAACTCTTTTGTTGACATGGTCCAAGAGGAGAAAGCTACTTTGAAGCCACCCCAAGAAGGAGAAACTGAAGAAACAATCAAGGAAGATCCCATTCCTAAGCCCAAGCAGCTTGCCAAACAAGCAAGGAGTAAGACTAAGGCCCCTACACCAAAACCGCCCAAGGGATCAACCAAGATTGAAGATGAGGCCAAGCCAAGAAGGAAGGTTAGAAAGCCTAGGTCTGGCCGCAACATGAAGCTTCTATTCCCAAAGGAGCTTATTGATGAGAATCTAGAAGGATTCAAGGAGAAAGTTGACAAGAACTCTAAAGCTTTTTCCTAAGGCAGTAGTGCCAAGGGACATTCATGGAGAGATTGTCTATCCAGCTGTGAATCACCCACCAGATACTCATTGCAAGGAGAAAAGACTTGGAGGATCAAAGATGCCTCTTGTCTCCATCTTCTCCTGAGCGCCAAGCCTTACAGTCAAGCTAAAGACTTAAAACAAGCGCTGCATGGGAGGCAACCCATGAGGTACTTTTACTTTTCTTTCTTTAATTTCTTAGTTTTTGTTTTGCTTTTGTGTTTTCTTTGTTTTAAGATAGGATAGAAGGAGAAAAAGGTGTGAAAAACACATTCCGCGGACGAAAACATCGGCCATGCTCGGCCGGACGAACTTAGCGCGACAAAAAACCGTCCGCGCAGTACGCACGAACAGGAAGGAATAGGCCGCGCTCGGCCGAATTGTATCGGAACGGACCGACCGTGCCGGTCGATCCGGGAAACAAACGTCGGCCTCGGCCGAAATTCTCTCGTTCGCGGATTTGGCCGACCAAATCGCACCGCGACAAATCCATCGGCCATCGGCCCAAACTTTTTCGGCCAAGGTAAGTCCCCTTTTCATTAATTCAAACCGGTTTTAACCAATCCTAAACCAACTTAAACCGGTTTTCAATCAAAATTCGAATTTGAAAAGGAAAATTAATGGATTTAGCTTTATACTTTACCTTTCCCTTGAAAAAACAAGAACCTCTCTTTCTTCTCCAAAACCCTAAACTCCATTAGAGGAACTCTAAGAGCTTTGATTTCAAAACTTTTACTGTTCATAACTCTAAATTGGAATTTACTTGCTCTTGCAACCCTTATTCACTTTTCAATACACAAGGTATGTCTTCTAACTCTAATCCATGTTTATGCAAGATCGAAAATTTCAATAAGTTTCTTGTTTGGTCTAAACTCTTGTCTAAACTTGAAATTAGCATCTTATAGTCTTGTAATGAACTTAGCTAGGTGGAACCTAGGTGGTTTAGAGTTATTTAGAGTTTAATTTCACAATTGAATAGTTTTTCACAAAACTTATTGGGCATTCCAAACCCCTTATTCAAAGGTGAAATTGCTTAGCATGCTTCAATTCATTAGTTTATCTAGTGATTACTTGGATTAGAAACTCAATTTCTCTTGATTTGCTAAAAATTTCGATTTTAGCACCATAATCTTGAGATGAACAGTAAAATCCGAAAATTAACTTTGAAAAAGTGAAATTTCCATTTTGTTCTTTGATTCATGATTAAGCCTTGAGTTGTTCCATTATCCATATCATTATTACAACTCAATTAGCTTATCTTCTTTTGCATTAATCACAAACTCATATTCTCTTCCCAAGAATTTGCTCTTGTAGGTACCCAATGGCAAAGACAAAAGGAAATGAGAGTATGAAGAAGAAGAAGAACCCATTCATGCAACCACCAAGAAACAAATCAAGCTAGGGAGTAGTAGCTCCAATGCAAGAGCAGTGATGATAGGATTTGTGTGTGTGTGAATGAAATGAGGTGGAATGCAAACAGGGTGAATAAAGATGAATGGTATGGTGCAATCACAATCAATCAATTCCTCTTAACCATCATAGTCATTGAAGTATAAGAGGTTATCAATCCAAAATGGGAAACTTGTCACTCTTTGAGAATATGAAACAACCAGAAAGTCAAGCAAGCAGTTATAGATTTGAAGTAACACTAACAACCTAAAAAAATGAAAAGCAGTGCAATAAAAGTAAACAAAGCAGTGAAGTGTCAGCTCGACCAAGACTCGAGTCGAGTAGAGCAAAGTACCAGCTCGATCGAGTTTAGGGACGAGTTGAGACAAACAAAGCTAAAGGTGACGACTTTAACAAGATAAAGAGAGAATTAGGGTTCAAGACAGGGTTTTGCAATCAAAGGAATCTACACTTAATCAATCTAGCTCTTAAAACTCCTTGTATCAAGGCTTCTCTTGATATTGGGCTTCTCAATGCCTAGCCAACCCTTTCCCAAGGTGGAGGCTATCAACCAAGGAATGATCTCAGAAACAGGGGGTTAGCCAGTGAGAATCAAACCTTGGAGGCTATAGGATCATTGCCCAAACTAATCCATCCAACCCCTTAGACCTCTATTGTCTAGAGCAAGAGATATTGGAGCTCTTAGTGGATCTTTTCCAGCGAATGCCATCACTTTCGTGTGGGGAGTCGCCTAAGGACTTACAAGCCAGGGGTAGTGGTCATGTAGCCTTAAGATCTATCCAAAAGAGAGAGAATCTAGATTAAGACCATAAGCTAGAAGGATTAAGCATATGAAACCTCTAATCTATCCCATCTCAAACCCAATGGGTAACTACTCACTACACATGAATGTAAACACAAGCAAATGCAATAAAAGAGACATCATAAGAAAGAGGAGATGAAATTAAACAACTTTTATTGAAATAAGCAAGTGCAAATACAAGAGAGATTATCCAGGATCTAAGATTCAAGAAGCAAGAGCTTCAAGAACACAAAGATGGGATTAGATCTCTAAAAAGTAAAAGACAATAAATTAAAAGAAACTAAAACAAAAGTAATCTAAAGCTTGGTGGTTTTTTCGTGGCTTAGAGCCTTTAAATACAAAGAGGATTAGGTTTAGGGTCAAAGGAAGTCAAGGGGGAAGCAACATTTTTCGGGTTTGACTTTGACTTCCAGCTCGATCGAGTTGAAGCTTGGCCGGTCGAGTTGAGGAACTCGACCGGTTGGTCGAGTGGACGGTCGAGCTGGTCTTCAAGATGGCTTCTCCCTTCTTCCTTTGCGTATCCAGTTGAGCTGCTTCCATGTGCCAAGTCCCTCCATGCTCCTTGTCCCATATGCTCCAGAATGCTCCAAAAGACCTATTTCAAAGGACCAAACATGCATATGTATGCAAATGCAACCTAAAACTAACATGAATGCATAAGAAGAGAAAAGGAACAAGATATGATGCAAATGGAAGCTAAAACTATGCAAAAGATGCATAAAAGATGTGCTAAAACTATGTAAAATGCAAGTACATCAACACCCCCAAACTTGAACTTTGCTTGCCCTCAAGCAAACAAATAGAACAAGAAAGAGATGAGGTTTGAAAAAGCTGATTCAACACTTAAAAACATGTCCTCAAAAGCGATTTGCTAAATGTCCAACTTAGAGATTCTAGAATGCAACAAGGTGAGAGATATTCATTAAGATTTAACCATGCTTATCAACATCAATCCCACTTCACAGTCACTCAAACAATGCATTCAAATCAGCAAATCCCTTTAACATTCATTAAGCAAAAACAGTGAACCAAAAACATGCAAGATCAATCAACTCATTTGGTTTCAAGGGTTTATGGGTTAAGAGACAAAGAGGGTCTCTTTTGTATGGTGGTTTAGTAACAGGGATCTCTCAAGAAAGTGGCTTTGCTTTGGCAGAAGGCTAAGTGTTAGAACCAAAGATGATGCAAGAACAGCAGCTCGAGCCGCCTAATCCTAACTCGATCGAGTTCAACACTTAGAGCTTTTTAGAACAAAATCCTAACTACCCTTTTTGGCATTTCGCCTTTGAAACTGAGGAGCTTTGCTCACTTTTCTTTTAAGAACTTCCTAGGGAGAGGCTTCTTGAGGTAACATCTAGCGGTTTGGGATTTTCTAAACACTTAGGGAACTTTTCTTTCCTTTTTGACACTTGAGGCTTTGCCTTCTTTTCATTCTACTTAGAACCCTTTTTACTTTCCTTTTTTAACTTCCCAAACCTTTACTAGACCCTTTTTAACACTGCCAACTCCCTGGACTTAACAAACTCTTTTTCCTTTGGGTTTTTCCCAACTTTTACCACTTTTCTGGTTTTTACACCCAACTCGATCGAGCTCGAGTTGGCACCCCCAAACTTAGCCTGAAAACAATCCCAAGAGAACTAGACAACTAGAACTACTGCCCCTGCCGGTTTAAACACAACACCTTATGCTAAGCAAAGCCAAGAAAGGTTCTCACATTCGCACAAGAGATAATATGGGGTTTGAAATGAAAAGGCTTAGGTTTAAGGTGTGGTAACTGTCTCAAATAGAGATCAGCTATCTGGACAATGCAAAGGGATATGAAATAGGTAGAAGAATGCATCAAATCCAGCAATGTATGTGGTGCATGCAGTGATATGATCAAGATAAACATGGTTCTTGCTGCTCAATCAATCTCACCCTAATGCACAAAAGAATCTAAAAACAGGGCACTCAAGAAATCGCAAAGATGACAAGTTTTCAAAGTCAAATCAACAATGCAAGTGAAAATGCAATCCTAAACAGTGAAGACTGTCCAGACGGCTCTATCGAGAGACAGCGCCCAAACCGCGCAGTCCGGCTGGCCGAGAAACGAACGTTTCCGCGCTCGGCCAAAGTCATATCCGTCCGACTGAAGTCTCGGCCAAAGTTCCAAACCGACCGGCCGATCACGCAACACGACCCGGGAAACATTGTCCCGCGGTCGGCCAAGCTTCAACGCTCCACGCCACACCGCGCACGACCAAAGCGCGCGAGCCGGGAAACAAGGCCTCGCGGCCGCGCAACCCGTTCCGCGTACCACGGCCGATGCATCCGTCCGAGCCGGGAAAGAACGTCCCACGTCCGGCCGAGAACCATCGGCCAAATCTCATCCGCCGACCACGCCGGCCGACCACGAATCCGTCCGACCCCGACCGTTCCGACTCGCCACGACCCGATTGTCCGGCCGATCGTCCCGACCGACCGTCCCAACGCCGCGGTCGACCCGAAGCCCTTTTTGAAGCCCAAACTTATGTTTTCAAGCCCGGCTTAACCCTAAGCCGCCTCTAGAAAGACCTAGCACTATATATATGGATTTTTAGCCTCTTGAGAAAGAGAGCCGCCCTGTATTTCGATTTCCTACTCTAAGTTTTATTGCAATCATGTTTTCTTCATCTCTATGTGTGTTTGCTTTGATCATGTCTGAGTAATCCACTAGTTAGGTTGCTAGGGTTACTATTCAATGAGTTGCTTGCATGATCTTTGATTTCAATGATTAGCTAGGGATTATATTAGAGTCTTTGTCTCGTCTTGTGCACTTAACTAATGCTGATTGCTTTACCGCGCATCTAGTAATCCGATCTTAGGTTGATTTGAGCCTCGACAGTGCTGTATCATTCGCCGGACATATTCTTTGACAAGCTAGGTTTCTTAGACTGCGAAAGTTGATCTACTATATCTAGTGAACTGTATCAGAACCTATTCATTCTAATGCTTGATCTAATCACCTAGGGACATACCAAAAGTTTAGCGACTAGGTAGATTAGCAAAGGAGCCGGAGCCTCGAAAGTGGAATGGTTTTATATTCGTGATCTGTGTTCTAGATGGTTCTTAATATCCCAATATCCCTAATCAATTAATCTATCATTGTTTCATTGATCATTGCTTGCTTCTCTGCGATAGCCCCTATGACCTAGCGCTTTTCCTTTATTGATTTACAACCTCGTTATACTTGCTAGTTCGGTTCACCATTACAACCTCAATCATACTTTTGTTTTAGCTTGATCCAAAATCCATAGTTTCAAAGTGTACTCAATAGCCAGTCCTTGTGTTCGATACCCATACTTCCGCGATCTGTGCACTTGCAGAGGTCTAGGAGTTTGGTAAAACCTGACTCCGCATCAGTTATATACAAGATAGACATGGGAATTCCTCCCAAGTGAGCTTGTTTTAGGTCGCATAGCTTGACCTTTTACCTTTTAGGCATGAATGAGAGCGGTCCCGCCATCAAATGTGACAGTAAGGACTGAAGATAGGAGCTCCTTGAGCTTGGTTTGATCTTTTTGCAGCTCAGGACTGACCAAGGCATTGATACTGGAAAAGGGTTTAGACTTTCTCTTGCACTTGATCTTGTACTCAATCTTCCCATTTGTGAACTTGGATGGCAACAGAGTCAGGGTAAGCTGGGATGGAGCGCTTGAGAGAGTCTGAGGCGTGATCATCTTTCTTTTATGTCCATGAGACGCCTTCAAAGCCATACCCTCCCCATCTTTTTGAGCACTTCCTAGCTGCTCACTAAACAAAACTGCAAGACCCATCTCATCCAGAACACAAGGTTCACAAATAACTGGCTCTGTGCAGCTCACAGTCATAATCTCCATCGTTTCAACCTCAGCAAACTCAGCAGACTCATCACTCTTGATGCTCAGCGACTTAGTGGCAATGGTTCCACAATATTTAGAGCTTGATGCCTTGAGAGGGTAAGAGACTTTGTTGTTGACATTGTGAAGATGACTTTCTTTGTGTGGAATCAATGGAGGCACCAACAGTGGTGAGGAAAGGTGTCCCTAAGATCAATGGCACATCCTTCTCTTCAACCATATCTAAGAACTGTTAGATCTATTGGGATGGTGCACTCTTCAATTCTCAAAGGGAAATCCATGACAATACCAAGTGGGGCTTTAGAAGAAGCATCTCCAAACATGATAGAAGACTTAGGTCGCTGGATCAGACTCTGTATACCCAACCTCTGTATTAGAACAAGAGAGATCAGATTGATACTTGCTCCAGAATCAACAAGTGCATCCTCAAGTTGTAGGTGACCAAGTGTACAAGGCAGAGTGAAGCTTCCCTGACCATTCAGCTTGGGTAGTGAGGTTGGTGTGGATAAGAGATCACTCTGGGAAGAAGAGGGTTCCACAAGCTGAGCTACTTGTCATGGTTATTAAGTATGTCCTTAATCAGCTTCATTTGGACATTAGCAGCTTGAAATACTTCCCATATTTGGTAGCTCAAGCCCAATCTTACTCATGTCATTCCTAAACTTGGTGATGACTTTCTTCTGATTCTTGGTAAGGATTCTACTTGGAAATGGAACAGGGGGCTTGTAGGTGTCATCATCAGATGGTGTTGGAGTATAGAGCATCTGACTCGATCGAGCTGGTGAGACGGTCTCGGCTCGATGAGCTTGTTGTGTGAGCTCAACTGGTGAAGCGTGGATAGCTATCTGAGGAGCTTGCACTTCAGGTTGAACGTACTGGACTCCAGGAGCATCAGCAACAACATTTTCTTCATTATTAAGCAACATACAGATCTCCTCAATATCCTTCTCATTAGCAGCTTGTTGATCAAATCCTTCCACTTGAGTGAAGATCACTTTACAATGCTCCTTTGGATTCTGGACATCCTTTCCAGGCAAGTGACCTTGCTTAGCAGCAGAAGAAGAAGCATGGTTTTCCAAAGAGTGAACTCTAGTGTTCAAGGACTCAATCTTAGAGTTCATCTCAGCCAACTTCTTGCTTGTGTCCATAGCACCATCAGCTTGACCTTGTAAGAGCTGCTTCAACATGGCTTGACTTTCTTGTGTTTGCATATTCTCATAGAGCCACATCTCACCCTTATGGATTAATAACCTCTTATACTACATCGACTATGATGGTTAAAAGGAATTGATTGATTGTGATTGCACCATACCATCTCATCTTCATTTACCACTGTTGCATTCCATTTCATTTGTGTTGATCGATAGAACCGAGCCAAATTGATGAACAAATTGATGAAAAAATTGAACCCCTCTTTGTGGCTGCCACAAGAGGATTGGACTTCTCCAAAAGTTCAACAAATGGCAAGGGAAAGCCATTGAAAAGATGCAAAAGTCCATGGACAAGATGGTGAGCAAGATCAAAGTTTGGAGAAGAAGGTTTCTGGTTCTTCAAGCAAGAAGAAGAAGCCCATGGTTCCACATTCCCTAGGAGTAGATCTCTTCTCACCACTCCAAGGAGGCTCCCTGCCCAAGAGCCTCACAGAGCCTCTTCTTTCGAGCCAAGGGAAGGAGAAGACAACACGCAGAGAAGGAGGAAGAGTTCCAAGGCCAGACGCTCCAGCTCGACCACCGGACTCGATCGAGTCCAAACAGAGGAAACTCAACTCGATCGAGCTGACGGTCGAGTTGACCTGAGGAGCCCCTGTTTGAGAACCCTGGATTCGAGTACGATCCAACGCCTTACCAGGACCCTCAGAGATGGAACCCCTATGGACAGTCGAGCTAGCCAGCTCCACCAAGGCCAAGGAAGCCACACCACTTCAAGATGAAGAAGAGGAAGAAGAGGAGCCGCAAGCTCGATCGAGTGAGTGAACCCAGTCGAGTGGAGTGCTCCTGATGGCCGTCTGCCCATCTCCAGACCACGACCTTGCCTCCCAGTTCTTTGGGGGGCACTGAGGTATCAAACACCAACCCTTGTATATACCATTTCATATTTTCTTGCATTTGTTTTTTTTTTCTTGGTTTTGCCCTCTTGAATCTTTCACTAAATTTTTCTCACACAAGGGACTGTGTGATTTAAGTTTGGGGGAGGGTTCAAGAGATGATTTAACCTTGTTTTCTTTGTTCTTAGTTTTTCATTCTCTTTTGCATAGAAAAACCAAAAAAATCATAAAATTTTCAAAAAATCCAAAAATATTTTCATCTTTTTGCATTCATATTTGTTAGATTGTTTAGGATTGCATTTTCACTTGCATTGTTGATTTGACTTTGAAAACTTGTTCATCTTTTGCGATTTCTTGAGTGCCCTGTTTTTAGATTCTCTTGTGCATTAGGGTGAGATTGATTGAGCAGCAAGAACCATGTTTATCTTGATCATATCACTGCATGCACATCTCATTCAACCATTGCTGTGATTTGATGCATTTCCCTATTATTTGAACCATAACTTGATCTTTAATTACCAATGCTTGCATTTGATTTCAACTCATGGCTTACATTTACATTCTTTACATTTCATATCCCTTTTGCTTGTCCAGATAGCTGATCTCCATCTTTGAGACAGTTACCACACCTTAAACCTAAGCCTTTTCATTTCAAACCCCTATTATCTCTTGTGCGATTGTGAGAACCTTTCTTGGCTTTGCTTAGCATAAGGTGTTGTGTTTAAACCGGCAGGGGCAGTAGTTCTAGTTGTCTAGTTCTCTTGGGATTGTTTTCAGGCTAAGTTTGGGGGTGCCAACTCGAGCTCGATCGAGTTGGGTGTAAAAACCAGAAAAGTGGTAAAAGTTGGGAAAAACCCAAAGGAAAAAGAGTTTAGTTAAGTCCAGGGAGTTGGCAGTGCTAAAAAGGGTCTAGTAAAGGTTTGGGAAGTTAAAAAAGGAAGTAAAAAGGGTTCTAAGTAGAAGAAAAGAAGGCAAAGCCTCAAGTGTCAAAAAGGAAAGAAAAGTTCCCTAAGTGTTTAGAAAATCCCAAACCGCTTACCTCAAGAAGCCTCTCCCTAGGAAGTTCTTAAAAGAAAAGTGAGCAAAGCTCCTCAGTTTCAAAGGCGAAATGCCAAAAAGGGTAGTTAGGATTTTGTTCTAAAAAAGCTCTAAGTGTTGAACTCGATCGAGTTAGGATTAGACGGCTCGAGCTGCTGTTCTTGCATCATCTTTGGTTCTAACACTTAGCCTTCTGCCAAAGCAAAGCCACTTTCTTGAGAGATCCCTGTTACTAAACCACCATACAAAAGAGACCCTCTTTGTCTCTTGACCCATAAACCCTTGAAACCAAATGAGTTGATTGATCTTGCATGTTTTTGGTTCACTGTTTTTGCTTAATGAATGTTAAAGGGATTTGCTGATTTGAATGCATTGTTTGAGTGACTGTGAAGTGGGATTGATGTTGATAAGCATGGTTAAATCTGATCTCCATCTTTGAGACAGTTACCACACCTTGAACATTAGCCTTTTCATTTCAAACCCTTATTATCTCTTGTGCGAATGTGAGAACCTTTCTTGGCTTTGCTTAGCATAAGGTGTTGTGTTTAAACCGGCAGGGGCAGTAGTTCTAGTTGTCTAGTTCTCTTGGGATTGTTTTCAGGCTAAGTTTGGGGGTGCCAACTCGAGCTCGATCGAGTTGGGTGTCAAAAAACCAGAAAAGTGGTAAAAGTTGGGAAAATCCAAAGGAAAAAGAGTTTAGTTAAGTCCAGGGAGTTGGCAGTGCTAAAAAGGGTCTAGTAAAGGTTTGGGAAGTTTAAAAAAAAGAAGCAAAGCCACTTTCTGCCAAAGCAAAGCCACTTTCTTGAGAGATCCCTGTTAACTAAACCACCATACAAAAAGGGACCCTCTTTGCCTCTTAACCCATAAACCCTTGAAACCAAATGAGTTGATTGATCTTGCATGTTTTTGGTTCACTGTTTTTGCTTAATAAATGTTAAAAGGATTTGCTGATTTGAATGCATTGTTTGAGTGACTGTGAAGTGGGATTGATATTGATAAGCATGGTTAAATCTTAATGAATATCTCTCACCTTGTTGCATTTTAGAATCTCTAAGTTGGACATTTAGCAAATCGCTTTTGAGGACATGTTTTTAAGTGTTGAATCAACCTGTTTTCAAACCTCATCTCTTTCTTGTTCTATTTGTTTGCTTGAGGGCAAGCAAAGGTCAAGTTTGGGGGTGTTGATGTACTTGTTTTACATGGTTTTAGTACATCTTTTATGCATCTTTTGCATAGTTTTAGTATCCATTAGCATCATAGCTTGTTCCTTTTCCCTTCTTGTGCATTCATAGTAGTTTTAGGTTGCATTTGCATACATATGCATGTTTGGTCCTTTGAAATAGGTCTTTTGGAGCATTTTGGAGCATATGGGATG